ACGTCTTTTTATTATTTTATTTACTACACATCTTTTTATTATTTTATTTACTACACATCTTTTTATTATTATTTTATTTACTGCACGTGAAGACAGCAGCGCTGAAGCTTTCTCTCGGTATATGCGAGAGAACTCGGTTCCATGTGAAATTCAGAATAAATATCAGGTGCTTCGACCAATTAAACCAAAAGATACAACTCTTATCCTGTTTTGTAAAATATTTGGTTAATGTTAAAGGCCAATTTAGTAAAAAATACATATGAAACAAGAGTAGATTGACACAGATAAGGTTTAAACAAATACATACTCTGATTCCGCCATGATGCAGCTGTATGCGTCGCTCAGTGATGACGTCGTTAAAGCGCACCACCGCCTCCTACCGTTCAGGAGAGGTAGGACAGGAACTAAATACTGTAAATACAAATAATAAAATAAAATAGTCCTGTAGTTTTTGACACAGTGCATTACAATAGCCTTTGCTAGTCTTTAATTGCTTAGTAATGAAACAGCCATCTTTTACAGAGTGTCTTAAAGAGCTTTCTCTTTGCCTGAATTTGTTATTTAAAAAAGCGTTTTGACCTAAAATCCCAAAATACTAGTTAAAAACACATAATGTTAACACATTTAAAGTGTTTTTCAGCATCCCCAGTTGTCAAATTGTTTAGCAATCTAAAAAAATAAAATAAAAAGGGGAAGTCTGTTAGTGTAAAAAAAAACAACTTTATTTGCATCAAAGTAAAACAACAACACAGTTGAACATAGCAATAAAAGAAGAATGACCAGGGGGAGCATAAATTACACAAACTAGTAAAAGGAAAATGACAGTCATATTATTCTTGCAGGAAGAAAACAATTTTACAAAATGTAACATATGTGTCAAGGAACCTCATGTAAAAAAATAATAACTTTAACACAACAGATCATCCACGATCCCAAGCTGGGAACAAGCCCATATTGTCACGTTTGCTTTTTGATTAGTTGAAGGTCTAACTGTAAGCAAATATTGTTTAAACTCAATCAAAAATCCAGAGAAATCAGGTTTTCTCTTCAAAAAATTGTATTTGTGTATGTGAAATTTAGCTTTAATGATTAATGGATTAATTAAGAAAACCTTGGGATTCATTTTGCCACCATGTTTAAACCCAAACAGGAACTGTTCCCAGTACAGCTGAAAGCTTGCTTATATATCTGAGTCGACGTAGTTACAGAAATGTTTCCAAACTCCTTAGAATGAGGACACATCCGGAACAAATGAGTGACAGACTCAGGGCAAAGGTCACAAAAGGAGCAGAGTTTCTTCAGGTGGATCCTGTGAAAGAGTTTGAAGGACACTTCTTTGACCTTGTTAGTGAGAAGAAAGTGGTTCAGGAGCAACCAGGTCCATTTCCAAGAATTATTATTCTGAAAGCAATTCCAGTATGGTACGATAGCAGGAGTGGAAGTCACGTCTCTCTGAAACAAGGATCTAACTGACTTATTGTTCTGAAGAAGAGGGAGGAGACATATTTTGCTAACAGGAGAGAGTATGGGAGTAAGAGTGGGAGAGTGATGATGAGTCTTGGCCTCTGTCTGAATAACATGCAGCTCTCTGTAGAAACACCCTGATACAAATAATACAAATAATCTAGAAATGACACCCAAAACTTTTACATGTTCTCCAGAAGAATTGGGAATATTAAGTTTAGAGAGAAACGCCTCATAATCCAGCAGGTGGCAGCTCTGTCAAACAGATGATCTACCAGAATAACAACAAGTATCAAGGAATTAAGTTCTCTGCTCATAGAAAATGTCCTTGTTATTCCATATGAAGTACCGATGAGGAGAGAAGTTGTGCTTGTAGATGAGTGACCAAGACAAGAAGCCTGACGGTGACAATGAGACGGTCTGATTGGGAGTTTTTGTAAATCAAAATTACAAACCAGAAAGAAGTTCAAACCATCAAATTTAGAGAAAATATGGAACGGTATGATGTTCCTAATAGAGGCCGGAGAATTAAAAAACTGACAAATACAATTCATCTTGAAGGTATTATTCAAAGTAGAGAATGATAAGCAGTAAAGTCCTCTGTTTTCATATGAATTCATTAGAGTTCTTAATGCAGTGAATCTTATTTTTCCAAACAAAGTTAAATAACAATTTGCCAGTTTCTTTTTCATTTTCATTGTCCAGTTCTGACGCCTGTGCAGCATAAATGAGTCTGGAGAGGCTTCAGCCTTAGACCACGTGGTGCAAGATCTCTGATTAACCACTGGTCCAGTCTTTTCCTAGTCCTTAGAATTAGAGGGTCATGATTTAGAGCACTTCTTCTTCTCTGATCCTCGGTGATGTTACACCTAATAGATGACCTCATTTTTAACTGGTATGTGTTCAGTTGAGGTTTTGGAGCAGTCTCTAACAGCCTTACTTCGTATTTCCTGAGGTTAAGATAAAGACCAGAGGCTTTGGAGAAAGTACAAATGTCCTTGATGGCTAAAGGGATTTGATACTCGTACTTTAATAATAAGGTAGTATCATCAACAAAGTCCATGCTCAATAATCCAGGTATACAATCCAACATTTTTCAGTCAGGTCATCTGGAAGAGGGCCGGCAATGGAGGAGGGGGCGTACCAAAGAGACCATCTTATCACAAGCAGAACTGGTTTGTTCCACTTTGGAGTAAGCTGTTGGAGGAAGAATCAGTTTTGTTGTGTGTTTCCTTGACTGATGAAGCCTTCTGGATCGAAGGTGAAACGTTTCAGCACAAAAAAAAGTAACTGTCCAGATGACCTGACTGAAAAATGTTGGAAGGTAGTATCATCTGACAGCTGTGTCAAAGTAACCATTTTATCAGCAACAGAGATCTCTTTTAGAGGACTGTGTTTAATACGATCAGCCAGAAGCTGAGCTACTAAAAGAAACAGATGAGGAGACAGGACACCCCCGTCTGATCCTCTACAGATGCTGAATCTACGAGAGGAGACGTTTTTTAGTTTGATGGAGCTGTTGTTGTTTTGGTACAAGCTTTTAATGATGGCATTTAACAATTTCCCAAATCCAAACTTATGTAGACTTTGGAAAAAAAAAACGTGTTCTTCTGTATCAAATATTTTGTAATCATTCTTAAGAAGACAAATGGGACGCCAGTTATCAAGACGTAAAGGATCTTTTTTAGGTTTTGGTATAAGAGTGTTCAAACCCTGAGTGAGGGTTGTTGGGAGGGAGCCTTTTTCTATAACTTCACACAGACCCTCCCACTGGTACATTTTCATCTTTAAATCACTTCTTGGTCTGCTGCCTTCATACATCTCCTCCTACATGTCTCTGTGTGAGTGCAGCTACAGCGTGCGCTCTCAGGACATCATTACCTGCAGTGTTCCCTCAGTGAGGACTGAACTAGACAAAAGGACCTTCTCCTACTCTGCTCCTGTTTCCTGGAATATCTTACAAACAGATCTGAAGCTCTCGACCTTTGACCTCTCTAAGGGGCTTTAAGAATCTGTTGGACTCCTGGCAGGGTCCAATGCAGACATGTTCCTGTTTTTAGTTTTCTACATTTGCCTTAGAATCTAGCTGTTTTTGCCATCTTATTTTAATTTGTATTTAAAAAAATCTGTACGCCTCTTTTATAACTGTAAGGATGGTACCTTTCTGTGGCCCGGTTTGTTTCTGTGTTCCCTTGTGCTCCCTCATTAGTTCCATTGGTGCCACCCGCGTCTCGTCCCAGCTGTTTGTTATCACGTCTCGTCTTGTCCCTGTATATAAGCCGTCTGTTCTGTCTTGTTCGTTGTCGCGTCGTACTCGTTGGGTCTCCTGTGTTCCCCCCTGAGTCTTCCTGGTTCCTTGAGTCTCCCGTGTCTCCTGAGTCCTCCTGAGTTCCCCGTGCTCTCTCCCTGTTCATGTAAGTTTTGCTGCCCCGTCAGCTTGTTATTTTGTACCTTCATTTATCATTAAATTCCTATTTTTGTAATTCTGCCGAGTTGAGTTCCTGTTCTGCACTCTGGGTTCGCTCCCTGACCACAAATCCTAACAATAACTGTCTATTGTTGTCATCATTCTTTGTTGAAATCAGGTCTCTCTTGAGTCCTCGAGGCTCAATGGGATTAACCTGTCTAAATAAAGGTTGAATGAATGAAAAATGAAAACACTCAAAACGAAGGGGACAAGATCAGATGAAAAATGTTTATAAAATTCAGCACTTAGTTCATCGATCCCAGGGGATTTGTTAATTTTGAGATGGCATCTAGAAGTTCCTGTGAAGAGATTGGCTCATCACAGTGATTTTTTTTTTTAGAGAAAGTTTAACAGTTAAATTGATCAACAGGGCATCAACTGAAGCTTGGCAGAAATTGGAGTGATATAGAATTTCATAAAAGGAACGACAATATCTAGCTATGTCATGAAGCTCCTTTACTTTTGTTAATGTAAAAAATGTCCAATTTAACTTGTAGTTCAGTTAATTCTTGTTGTTTTAAGTCATTTAAATTAGATGGATTCAGCTGAGAAAGCTCAGATATCCTTGAAATAATTTGGGTTTTCTCGGCTCTATTACCTTTGGCTTTGTTGCTAAAATTTCTCAGGAATTTACCAGATTCAAATTTGAAAAGTTCCCAGTTAAGTCCATAAAGATTATCCATTTGTGCTTTAAGCCAGAAAAAAATAATGAAGTTTTTTGTCTTTGCGGTGACCTCTTCGTAATTTAGTAAAGAGTTGTTCAAATTCCAATATGAAGCAGAGTTAAAAGAATGACTTTTGTCAGAAAAATTAATAAGCTCAGTAGCTTTATGGTGTGTAAGGGGGTAGGTAGGATATTAACAGTAACAACTTCCTTGTTTACTGAATCTGAGATTAACCAGAAGGCTATCCTAGATTGTTGCGATGACGATTTATTACTCTAAGTAAATAAATAGTCATGTGGATGTTCTGCTCTCCAAATATCGATTGGATTAAAATTTTCCATAAAAGATTTGATAGTTGGGCTTGAGGCATTTGGTCTACCAGGATGCCATTTATCAAGATGACCATCAAGGACAGTATTGAAATCTCCTCCCACAAGAATTGTAGCATTAGGATTTTTTTTAACCATTCTAGAAATCAATCAACCTTTATTTATACAGGTAAATCCCATTGAGCCTCGAGGACTCATTTACAAGAGAGACCTGAAAGAAAGAAAGATCTTTTCCACCGCAAGAAAAAGCTTATCATTTTCTCCCTTGTTGGTGAAACCATAAATGTTGGTACAAATGAAATAATAGTTTTTGTAGAAAAATAGTTGATAGATAAAGTCCATCCATCCATCCATCCATCCATCCATCCATTTTCTTCCGCTTATCTGGGGTCGGGTCTCAGGGTTAGCAGCCTAAGTAGGGAGGCCCAGACTTCCCTCTCCCCAGCCTCT